GTCGTTTGCGTAAGTAATTATATGGGCTTAAACAAGCACCCCATGTTTGGTATAAGCGGTTTGCTGATTATGTCATGTCTCTTAGTTTCTCAAATAGCAAATGTGATCACTCATTATTTATTTATCAAAAGGGTTTGCACATGAATTACATTTTGTTCTATGTTGATGACATTATTCTTACTGCCTCGTCTCATGCTCTCTAATTATATATTATGGACCTTCTGAGTTTGGAATTTGCTATGAAGGATCTTGGTCCTTTGAACTATTTTCTTGGCATTGCAGTGACCCAGCATAAGGGTGGTATGTTTCTTTCACACCGCCAATATGCTGAGGCAATTATTGACCGAGCTGGTATGTCTTCCTGCAAGTCATTTCCAACACCGGTTGACACCAACGCTAAGGTGGGTACTACTTCTAGCGCATCTTATGAGGATCCCACTTTTTATAGGTGTCTTGTTGGGACTCTACAATATCTCACTTTCACCAGGCCAGATATCTCTTATGCGGTGCAATAGGTGTGTTTATATATACACGATCCGATGGTGGACCATATGCAAGCTCTCAAACGCGTTATCCAGTATTTACAAGGTACACTTGATCTTGGTCTTCATCTCAATTCATCTTCGACCATATCTCTTGCTTCTTATACTGATGTTGATTGGGGTGGGTGCCTTAATGCGAGACGTTCTACCTCGAGTTACTGTGTGTTTTTGGATAACAACTTGGTGTCATGGTTCTCCAAGCGTCAATCTACACTCTCTCGGTCTAGTGCAGAGACCGAGTATAAGGATGTTGCTAATGTGGTTTCTGAGTCGTGTTGGCTTTGAAATTTGTTATTGGAATTGCATTATCTGGTTACCAAGGCTACTCTGGTGTATTGTGACAATATTAGTGCTATCTATTTGTCGGGCAACCCAGTGCAACATCAAAGTACCAAACATATTGAGATGGACATATATTTTGTACGGGAAAAGGTTGCACGCGATCAAGTTCAAGTTCTTCATGTTCCTTTACAATATCAGATCGTTGACATCTTTACTAAAGGACTTCCACGTGTGTTGTTTGATGATTTTAGGGATAGTATCAGTGTCCATCGTCCTCCTGCTTTGACTGCGAGGTGTGTTAAGATATATGTAAATATATTTTGTTATTGTATTTTAGGTAATTATATATTTAGTTTATAATTAGTTTCCTAAATATATGTCCGATATTATTAGTTACCTAATTAGTTTCCTAAGATTAGGACTTCTACATTGTATTTATTCTAAGCTAGTGAATGAAATCAATTGAGAAAAATATTCTTTTAAATAATTATTTCTTAAGTATAATTAACAATTTAACTATATATGACAATTTATAAATTGCTACTCAATTCTACACCTATACATCCTGTTGTTGGACCTATTACAACAACCTATTAAAAATTCCTTATAGAATCATATCTAAAAAATCATTACATTTGTTTGATTTTATGTGTTCTAATTTTTCTTATTCTTATATTTTCCATGCTTTTTATGTCGGGTTAAACTCTATCTCGAATATAAGGTCTCCTATCACTAGACTATTTATTTCTAAGTGAAAAGAAACTTTTAGGGGATGACAAGACGGATTAGACTTGACGGTCGACCGCTAGACTCACCTAAAAAATGGCAGGATGAAGCGGGCTAACTCGCTTTAAAAAAATTATATATTAAAATTAAAATAAAAAATATTATAATTAAAAAGATTATATTTTTTGTATTGTATTATTGAAATATATAAATATATTATAATTTAAATTATAAAAATTAATTAATTAAATTTAAATAATTAATTATAATTAGTTATTTTAACACATAAATATAATATTTTTTAATTTATCTAATAATAATATTAAAAATAAATAAAAAATTAAAATTATTTATATAATTAAAAATATATTTAAAAAAATATAGGTAGAAAGCTTATATAAAAAGAATGATTAGCAAACTAACACATTAACCATCAATGTTTATATAAAAAGAATGAGCAAACTAACACATTAGCCATCAATCTTTAACAGGATGATTTGGGGTCTATAATTCGTCCTAATTATGATAAATGAGCTTGTTCAACTTTATTTTTAGTGGACAATTTTGGTTCCATTACCTAAAGGTAAACCCTCCATGCATATCAATTTTCAAGCTCCATACCTTGTATATCAATTTTCAAATTGAAATACAAGTTTGATGGTGAAATAAGTAGATACAAGACTAGCACTGAGTTACACTTAGCAACATGGGATTCACTTCTTAGATACTTTCTACCAATAGCCAAACTTACATATGTATAGATTTTATTAGTTGTAGTTGCTTCTAAAATTGGTGCTTACAACAATAAGATATCGATAACGCTTAATGAAGACTTATTTAAAAAAAAATAAAAAAATAGAAAGATCTTTGTCAGGTTATAAAAACAAAACAAAAGTTTAGTTTGTAAATAAGTCTTTATACGAGTACAGGTAGGCCTCAAGATAATGATTATGTAAATTTTCATTATTCAACATAGTTTTACATACTACTCATTATTCAAATATGGATTTGGTTCTTCTCTTATTATTTTATTTGTTTATTGACACGTAATATCGAATGAAGTTTAATTGAAGTTATATTCATTATTTAAATCAAAATACACATAATTATCTCCAATATTTTTCAAACTCCTAGTTTTCTCATATTAAAACTCAAGCTTGAATAACTAATTAATTTACAAAAGTTCTTCGTAGTGTTACCTTACATATTTTCATCTTTTAAGTGAGGAATAATCAACATTTTTTTTATTTGTAAAAATATTAGAGTTATCAGGAGAGCAAAAAAACCAGATTTTAATTCAATGAATATTTTTTCTTCTCTAGACTCCCTTTATTCTTTTACATTCCTCACAGTTTTATTTTATAAAATTTTGTTTGTTTTATTTATCATGTTTCAAAATTCTAGCAGTCTTGATTATGTTTTTCAATTAAATCCTTCATTAACAATTAATGAGTGTAATTTAAATTAATAAAAAAAATATAAAAATACATAATAAGAAATTAGTAAATATTTTTAATAAAATAAAAAATATTTATTATATTCCTGTATGATAAAAATTGTGAGGTGAAAAACTCCAAAGAAGTTCCGTTGAAATTCTACATGAAAATGTGGGTCTACAATCCCAACATTGGAATGGCGTAATGGTGATAATGGACGGGTAGTGACTTGGTGGGTTGGGCTCTGAATAATTCAAAGGGCCCAATATAATTCTAAAGTTTTGGGTTTTTCTCAGGGTGTTTCTTCTTACACCACAATAATTTATTGTATGCCATCATTATATGTAAAATATAAAACATATCTTTACTACTACTTCATCTTCATTTGTTGAATATTTCTATTTAAAGATTATAAATTTGTTTGTGATGTATGCATCCAAAATTTTTATAAAAAATGTATTTGATTTATATGATGTTTTAGATTTTTGAATTTGAAATACATTTATAGAATCATCGAAAATAATTCTGAATAGGCTAATTAAATATTTATTTTTAAATGGTATTTTTTGAAAATGTTCTAGAATCGATTTTCTAAAATATATTTCTAGAAAATTAATTTTATAACGTTTTTGGAACCTATTTATATTAAAAATAATATTATTATTTTAGATGAATATGATGCAAGAAGAAAGTAGGAGTGTAAGAAAAAACAACACTTTCTTATTGCATCTAATACTTTTTTTTCATTTCATAAATATATTTATTAATTAAAAATACTCTAAAATTAGATTAAATATATTTTAAAATAGTGATAATATTTTTAATTAAGTGAAATAAAAATTATGTATATAATTTTAGATAAAAATTCTGAAATAAGATCAAAAGTCTACCATCATTTTGGAATACTACAAAAGGTATTTTGGGAATGAATTTTTCGAACAATATAAAGTAAACACTATTTACATAATTCTACATAAGATATTTACAAAAAAAAAAAAGTGTTTCATAATATATAATCTAAAATGTTATTTTTGGATTACGAAATCTGCCAACCCACATTTTCTTAAAGAAAGTATAGGAAAAAAAAATTTGAAATTTAAAAAATTTAGTAGAAACAAATGGGTTGTGAGAAGAAAAAACCTCAATTTTAAACTTAGGGAAAAACTTTGTCAGTAGAAAAGGATATATAATTTGGATTACTTATGACAGGAATTCTAAATATTCTGATTATTTCATTAAATGTTTTAAAACAATGTCAGTTAATAATTTCAAAAATTATATATATATTTGAGATGGCAAATAATTATAAAATATTTACTCTTATTTTCATCCTTAATTTATAATTAATAAAGTCTAATGAGCCAGAGGTTAAGTTGGAATTTAATGGACCACATTTATGTTTTTTAAATTAACTATTTATTTTTCTATCCTCATAACTCACATGATCTTTCATACCATTCTATAAGTGTTATATCAAGGCAAATAGTTCAATAAAATATTGATGGAAGGATAAATTACATACTTAAAAGATTAAAATTACACAAATACAATATCTAATAAATAAAAATTAATGATCGTGCTGGATCATTCAATCACAAAGTAATGTTGGTATAATTCTTAATGTAATTATTATAAAAATGATTAGATTTATCATGCTTATAATAATTTATAACTGAATTTTGTAATCACCACACTAATCCATAAAGTTTTTTAAATATATATCATTGACACAAGAGAAATTGATTTCATAAATATGGTGTCTAAAATGAAATATGACGCGAAAGTGACGAAACTGGAAGGTAGTAAGATATCAATGAGTATATAAAAGTATGGTATATCAGATCAGAGTATTCTAATATCCAGATAATTGTTTGGATTATTATCCGTCCAATCATTTTGCTTATTCACACTGAAGTGCTTCTTGAAAGTTGGCCTAATAAAAACTGCACCTCTTTGTGCCTACTTTGCTTTAAAACCAAAGAAAGTGTGAAGAATTGAGGAGAAAGCAGACAACATGAGTAGCATGCCTGCAAAATTGTTGTTCACAACTTTGTACATCCTCTTGGTCTCTCTTCCTATGCACATGTCACCACATGATGTTAAGATAGGCTCAAAGCAGTTCAGAAGTAGTAGTAGTGGCCACAGGAGCAAAGGTAGTGGTGATGGATCAGCCAAAGGTTGCAACCACAACAACAGGCCATTGGGCACAAACACAACACCATGCCAAAAATCAACAGCCATTCAAGCAGTTCCAGCTTCACCTCCTCTTGTATTTGCAGACCAAAGACTTGAAGTAGTGTATCCAACAATCCAAAGATTCAAGTCCAGCATCACCTCAGATCCTCTAGGAGTGACCAAAACTTGGGTAGGATCAGACATATGCAGCTACAAAGGCTTCTACTGTGACACACCCCCTGACAACAGTTCTGCCACTGCTTTGGCCTCTATTGACTTCAATGGTTTTCAACTTGCAGCTTCCACCCTTGATGACTTCATTGATAACCTCCCTGATATTGCTCTCTTCCATGCAAATTCCAACAATTTTGGTGGCACCATCTCACCCCAAATAGCCAAACTCCCTTACCTCTATGAGCTTGATGTTAGCAACAACCAATTATCTGGTCCATTTCCCACTGCTGTTCTAGGAATGAGTACTCTAACATTCTTGGACTTAAGGTTCAATTTCTTCTCTGGGGAAGTGCCACCACAAATATTCATACAGAACCTCCAAGTCCTTTTCATAAACAACAACATCTTCACTCAAGGGTTGCCAGATAACCTAGCCACCACTCATATTCTCTTACTCACCTTAGCAAACAACAAGTTCATGGGTCCAATCCCAAGAAGTCTTCCAAAGGCTTTGTCCTCTCTGAGTGAAGTATTGTTACTTAACAACCAGTTAACAGGTTGTTTGCCTTATGAGATTGGTTTTCTTGAAGAGGCCACGGTGTTTGATGCTGGCAACAACCAATTGACAGGTCCTTTGCCTTTGTCTTTGAGTTGTCTTGAGAAGGTGGAGGTGCTAAATTTGGGTGGTAACCTTCTGTATGGTATGGTGCCAGAAGTGGTGTGTGCAGGGTTGGTGAATTTGGTCAACTTTTCATTATCAGATAACTATTTCACACAAGTGGGGCCACTGTGTAGGATGCTGATTCAGAGAGGGGTTCTTGATGTTAGGAACAATTGTATTCCTGATCTTCCGTTTCAGAGATCAGTGATGGAGTGCGCTGAGTTCTTTGCAACACCAAGGATGTGTCCCTTCATGTGGTTTTACAGCCTCATCCCATGTAAGCTTCCTTTTCAAAATCCCATTCCTTAGATGCCTAAGGCATTTGGGTTGCCCTTCTTAATTTGTTTTATCTTCTTTAACTTCCTCTGTGATGTATAATTGTAACTCAACTTTGTGATGCTCCATCCATGCTCAAATGATTTCTGCATTTCAAATTTCAAGTCAATATGTGCAGCTGATAAATTGTTACTTCCAAGTCATACATCACATTTCCTTTTTCAAAATAGCCAAAGATATTTGTATCATGGATCATCTTGGTTAGACTAGCAACAGTAAATTTAGTACTTTATTTCAGTAAATATAACTCAAATTAATTTATAATTTCAATATGCATTAAATCAATTAACTTTCTAATATCAGGATCTACTTGATTTCTGGTTTTAAATTTAGCTAGGAACTAAGTTGGATGATTTTATTTTATTTTATACCATTAGGGATGAAATTAGATAGTAGAGACAATTTCAAAAACTAAGAAAAGGTACTCCAACAAAAGTAAAAGCAGAGAATCTAAATTTCCAAGGAAAGGAGCTTTTTCCAAAGCATATATATGGTCCTAAAATCTGTGCTAATGCAGGGATAAGCAATTGCTTGTGGTGCCAAAGCCACATTTGTTTTTCTTAGCTACCACACTATCTTTCTTTTTTCTTCTTTCCAAATGATGATAACATAACTAATGGCCTGGTCCCTCATGCATAAAAAGTAACTCACATGGCAAGTGAAGTAAAGACAAATTAGTGAAATTACAACATTTCATGTATGATTTGCAGATAAATGTTAATTTATTGATACACAGCATAACCTTCGCAATCTTCTGTAACACTGATTGATCAGACATTCAGACAGTTTTCTATTCATCATTTTGACAAAAGAAAAAGAAGAGAAAAACTAAGGCAAATTAACTCAACTGCTCCCATAATTAGGAATTGATAGGTAATGAATGTAGTTCAGCCATGCATGGCCATGCGTTCCAGCTCAAAAAGAGACCAACACTGCATAATTTTATTATTAACGCTGCGATATTCATCTAACAGCCTTGTCATTAGGCACTGTTCTGGGATTTCTAAGGTTTTAAATGTCAACGGGTACGTGCAAATAACCCAAGTGGAGGCCTTTCCCTTGTTTTTTTCTTAGGGAACCAAATTATTATATGTATTGTGACAAAGATGAGAGTGGATTATGTTTGTGTACGACTTGACATCGGCATAAATAAACGTCATTCAGTTAGGACCATTTTTTAAATGATAGTGTTAGAATCATAAGACCAATCATATCATTGAATTAAAGTATACAAATAAAAATAATCTTTATCATTTTGTAATTTATCACATAATTCTCAATTGTTCCACTTTTTATATATATATATAATCTTGTAAATTTTATGTTTGAAATGTTAGTGTTCAATTAGAAAGAGATATGAAGATCTAATTTCGTATAAGAATCAGAGTGGTAGATTTCATGTTTATTATGAAACATAATTTAGGATTAATTTTTATTTTTGAGGTATTATTTATTTTGAGTTATAGTCTATCATATCTATCATGTTTGAGAGTATCCAACCTCATGTCTACTATAATAACATCGTCTATTATGATAACATTCTTTAGAGTCAATTTTTATTTCTAAGATATTGTCTGCTTTGGAGTTGCAGTTCATCATGGTTTTGTTCTTAAATGACACATCGACAAATTGAAGGTGTATATAAACTATTTAGTTTCAACTAATTTGAAAACTAAAGGGTATTATAGGAGCGATACTCTGTTTTTGGTCTTATAGTCCCTATAGTGGGTATCAATGTTTTATCTAAGAATTAGAAATACATTATATCTATTATGATAATATTGTGTATGATCAATTTTTATATCCAACTTATTATCCGCTTTAAAATTTTAATACATAATTTTATTTTTAAAAGACTTTTTAATTGACTTAAAAGAGATGGTATAGATCTTATATTAATTAATATAATAAGTTAACTCTTACAGTATTGCAAATTTTTAAAAGGTTTCTAGGGTTATCTCAAACCAATTGATAAATGTTGGCACTATGATGCAATATGCAGAAGTCGGCTACGGTTGTTTGTATGTTTGTGGGGTGGAAGTGAGTTTGCTGCAGCACAGTGGCGGTGGTAGTGTTAGGTGAGCGGCGTGGGTTTTTAAAATAAGCAGAAAAATATTAAACGAACCGCCCAAAAGGACCATAACTCGACACTTTTCTCTTCTGTGATGCTTATTTTTATTGGTTGGGAAAAATTTTGGGGTTTCACTTTTCCACTTGGCATTCAACTTATGGCACTAATTGGGCTGGATAGAAGTGGAACTGTAGTATAATAGTTTTTCAAGTTTTAAAATACAAAGAAAATTTTATTCAAAAAATAATAAATGAAGTAAACCTAATGGGTGGATTGATAAAAATAATTAGAGAAAATTTCGAGTGAGACAAGAGATGTTTTGATGGGGTAAAAGGAATAATTGTGATAATGTAGAGAAATTCTTTTATGTATAGAAGATATACTAATTAAAGAAAATTAAAAGTATTTTTGTTATTGGAAGATAAAAAAATGATCTATTTGATTTGATTTTAGGTAATGGAAATCACGATTGTGTGTGAGGTTTTTAACTTATTAAAGTTTCTAATTTTTTTTTACAATATTAAGAAGAAAGTAAAATTTTCTAGTAAATTATACTTTTAAAATAGGAGGATTTTCTTTTAAGTATCTTCTATCCTTTTAGTTGTGAATTTTGCTAAAGTCCAATGTGTTATTTCTCTAATATTTTTATTAGACGGTCTAATTTCAACAAAATTTGTGTTCGGATTTAAATTATATTCATAATTAACAACTCCTATAAAAGAGAAAGATTACAAATATTAAAAATAAAATTGATTTTATATAGATTTTTTTGATATAATCTAGGAACATCATAATATAAATGGGAAATCAACTCAAAGGATAAGTAATATTAATTAAAGGAAATTTATTTAAATTAAGATTTTAAATAGAAGACAAATATCTTATTAATGATAGACTTACATTCCTTCCGTGAGGACCAAAGATCATCGTGTCAAAATCATCAAACAACATCAAAGTCAAATTAACAAACATAATGATAGAATTGACGAAGTTCTCGTGTGATTTATTTTAGAAATGATATTTGTTCGCTTGTGTTTTTCAAGCGTATAGATAGGAGTATCAATGTGAGTCAACCTAACTCAGCCAAGTTCGCTTACCACAGACCGAATTAAAAATAGGCAAACTCAATCCAACTCATTTTATGGCAAATCATAAATTTCACAACCCAACTCAACCCACTACGGATTGGTAGGTTAGGTGGATTGACTCACAAACTCATATATTTTTTTTGCTTCAACTTTTTTTCTAATAAGCACGATTGAATTGCGGGACTAAAATGCAAACACTGTGATTCAATTAAAACGTGACAAACATTGTGGTGCGACTGAAACGTAATGGCAATGAGATAGAAAACGTTGTGACGCGACTGAAACGCAATGGTGTAGTGACATAGAAAACACTATGACGCAGTGGTGTGACAAACATTATGATGTGATGACGTAACAAATGCAACTGGCATGGTGACACAGTGGACGAATGGCAAGTTATCCAGGTATAACGATGAATGTAGTGGTGCGACGGACAACTAATGATAAACTTGAGTGAGAGTTTGACTTGTAGCAATGATGTAAAGTAGAGGTGAAGAGACATGATAACATTAAGTATAACTAATAAATTATTATAATTATTTTTAAAGTTTAAAATGAATTGTGGATTGTAGGCTAACCCACCATTAAGTGAGTCAAGTTTATTTTTAGCCCATTTTCAATAAAAATGAAAATAATTGAACCCAACCCGACTCGAACTTGTTGTGAGTCGGGTTGGCTCACAGGTTATAACTTATATTGACGCCCCTACCTATAGACCTCATCATTCAAGGATTGTTATGGACACCCTTCTGTCTTCATTTATTTGGTGACATTCAAATAATTATTTTATGTTCATCTCTAAATTTTAAAATTATTTAACATTATATTTTCCATGGAAAGGGGGAAGATCTACTTTAGGTTCCTAGGATAGTTATTTTGCCTAGGCCTAGATGGTTCTAGGGGATAGTTGATAGTAATAATGACTATTATATGTTCCTCTATTTTGAGAGTGAGGTTTCTCTTGATATTTTAGTCTTCTACGTGAATCTTAATTATGTTTATTCGTCAAAAAAACATTTGATTTTTCACTTAAAGGTCTACGTTCATATTGCGAGAAAGGGTTTAAATCACATCAATTCAATGATTTTTGTGATGAGCATTAAACAAATAATTGTGAATTTGGTTTGTAGGATGCTAGAATATGACCAAAATTTGTTGGGTAGAAGCAGTGCATTGGACAATACATCTTCTGAATTGCAACCTAAGATTGATAGTGAAAATTAAGACACTTAAGGAAGCTTGGACTAAAATCAAACCTTCAATTCATTACTTTAAGATATTTGGTTGTATCTCTTAACTTTATGTGCTAGACAATAAGAAAGTTACATTAGATGGAAGAGTTTAAGGTGTCTTTCTTGGAGTCAGTGATAATTCAAAGGATTATAGACTTTATTATCCAAATTCACAAATGATTATAATTAGAAAGAATGTAATATTTGAAGAAAATGAAAAAGTGAGATTGAGATAAACGTTATCAGGGAGACATTTTGTGAGTTATAATAAGAGAAAAATTAAAAAAGGCTATTGATGTACCAATTAAAAAAGATATTACTAATATAGAATCAAACGAGGCTTCTACAAATAAAGAAACCTCTTCGAGGTTAGATGAAAGGAGGATTAGGAAGAGACCCATGTGGATGAAAAGTTACATGATAGAAAAAGGTTTATCTAATGAATATACAACTTATCTTGCCATGTATGTAACATCTATTGACTCTCTTTGTTATAAAGTGATGAGAATTTTTATGGTTTTATTTATGTGTATTTCTGATATATGAAAATATATCTAATATAAATTTTTCTTCTTCATGTAC